TTTTAAAGAAAACACACAAAAAGGAAAATAAATACAAAAGGTAATACAATAGGACTTGAACCCACAACCTTATGATTAAAACTCTTACATATACCTTCTTACCAACTATGATATCTCATTTATTCATAATAAAATCCACTCGAAAGCATATGAAGGGTGGACAAAATTGAGGTATGACACACATGAGATTGGGTCATGTCAGCGAAAGAGGTCTGGTCGAATTGGGAAAGCAGAACCTGCTAGGAGGTGACAAAGTCGAAAAGTTGGGGCTTTGTGAATCTTGTGTATTTGGTAATCCTGTACGGCGAAGTTTAACAAAGGCAAGCAAAGAACACATGGATCCCTGGATTACATTCATGCTGATCTTTGGGGGCCTGCAAGGAATCCTTCACACTCAGGTGCAAGGTATTTTATATCCATCGTTGATGACTATTCCAGAAAGCTATAGGTATTCATCCAGAAGACGAAGGATGAAACTTTTGAGAATTTTAAAAAGTTGAAAGGTTCTGGTCGAAACTCAAACTGGCAGAAAGGTTAAGAGGTTGAGAACTGACAATGGCTTTGAGTTCTACAACGAAGCGTTTGACAGTTACTGTGTTAAGTCTGGGATTGCAAGGCATAAGACTGTAGTAGGTACTCCTAAATAAAATGATTTAGTTGAGAGATTCAATCGAAAAATACTTGAAAGGGTTAGATGCATGTTGGTTAGTGTTGGATTGAAGAAGGTGTTTTGGGCATAGGGTATTTCGACAGCAGTTGATCTGATAAATAGATGTCCATCGACTGCCTTGGGAATTAAGACACCTGAAGAAGTTTGGTCGGGACATTCACCTGAGTCTCGACAGACTGAGAGTATTTGGTTATGTGGCTTATGCTCGCATTAGGCAAGACAAGGTTGAACCTAGAGCTCTGAAATGCATGTTCATGGGATACCCTGAAAGAGTCAAAGCTTATAGGCTATGGTGCCTAGAGCCAGGTCACAGGAGGTGTATCACCAGTCGAGATGTAGTTTTAAATGAAGCAGAGATGACTTTCAAAAAAATTTATGATGCTAACGAAGAGCTGGAACATGGAGAGATTCCTGTTGAGGTGAAGCATGTTGATGCTGAATTGCGTATCCCAGATGAAGTCTAAGAAGAAGCAGAAGCTCCTGTCAAAGATGAGGAGACTGATAATGACTACCTGATAGTAAGAGACAGGTCAAGGAGAGTCATCAAGCTACCTCAGAGACTTGGGTATGTAGATCTTTAGCTTATGTCTTAATCTCTACAAGTGAGGTTCTAGACAAAGGACCTAGAGACTATAAGGAAGTTATGAGGAGTCGAAAGAAGACTGAATGACTTATGACCATGAATGATGAGATGAAATCTCTTCATGATAACAATACCTAGGAACTTATCAAGAAACCTGCTGGAGCCAGGTTAGTCAGCTGTAAATGGATTTTCAAAGTTAAGGAAGGAATCGAAGGAGTGGCATCAAAGAGATACAAGGAAATATTGGTTGCTAGGGGGTTCACTCAGAAAGAAGGTGTCAAATTTAATGACGTGTTCTCTCTTGTTGTGAAACACAGATCCATTCGAATGTTACTTGCCACAGTGGCACAGTTCGACCTTGAACTAGAACAAATGGATGTGAAGACGACGTTCTTGTATGGTGACCTAGATGAAACAATCTCGATGAGGCAACTTGAAGGGTATGTGAAAGGGGGAAGGAAAATTATGTGTGCAAACTGAAGAGATCTTTATATGGACTGAATCAATCTCCTCGATAGTGGAATAGGAGATTCGAAAATTTCATGGCACGCATAAGTTTTATCAGAAGTCAGTTTGACCACTGCGTTGACTTCAAATTTTGACCAGGTAATTCATTTGTTATTTTGTTGCTCTATGTGGATGATATTCTAATAGCAAGCAACAATGTCGAAGATTTAATGAGGGCGAAGGCTGAACTCAATAAGGAGTTCGACATGAAGGATCTGGAAGCTACGTCCAAGATTCTTGGGATTGATATCCGAAGAGATAGAAAGCAGTCGAAATTATGCTTACCTCAAGAGGCATACCTACAGAAGATTCTTGAAAAGTTTGGTACATCGAATTCAATGCCTATTGTGACTCCGACAAACCCTTAATTCAATAGATCAGTGTCCCAACACTGATGTCGAAAGAACTTATATGAATAGCATTCCATATGCTAATATAGTGGATTTTTTTTATGTATGTTATGCTATGTACTAGACCCGACATAACATATGTAGTAAGTCTTGTAAGCAGGTACATGGTGAGTTCTGGAAAGGCTAACTGGCAAGCATTGAAGTGGATTCTAAGGTACATAAATGGGTCTCTGAATAGAGTCCTAATTTATGGTGGAGCCTTGGGTGGAGCCTTGGGCGGAGATAGTAAAGCAGAAATCGAAGGACATGTCGACTCTGATTATGCAGGTTGTATGGATTCCAGAAAATATATTTTTGGATATGTGTTCTCTATCTTTGGGACAACAATTAGTTGTAAAGCAACACTTCAGAAGGTTATTGCCTTATCAACCACTGAAGTGGAATATATTGCCCTAACTGAAGCTGTGAAGGAAGCATTATGGCTTGAAGGTTTTGCAAAGGAGCTGAAACTTCAAGGTCGAGTTGTCACTGTTAAATGTGATAGTCAAAGTGCAATACACCTGTCGAAGAATTCATCATATCATGAGCGAACCAAGCACATTGATGTGAGGCTGCATTTCGTTATAGGGGTAATCGAGTGTGGAGAAGTCCAAGTGCTGGAGGTTTCGACAAAATATAATACTGCTGATATAAAGCTGCATGAAGAAAGCTAGTTTGTTTTTTTGTGTTATAGAGTTAGATTCAAGGTGGAGATTTATGAGATATTGGATCGAACTCTAGTATGGTCGAAGTGTAGCTTCTGGTTCGACAGGAATTAAGCATGAGGTCGAAGTCTGTTCAAATGATGTTGTCGAAGTAATGCGCGTTGCAGTCGAAGTTTGTTCTAACATGCATTAGTCAATATTGTTAGGTTTGTTAGCATATTGAATTAGGTCTTACTTGTAAGCCCAATTGTCTAAATTAGCTTGTACCCTAAGTTACTTCATTAAGTTAGTGTGTTAGTTTTCTTATAAATAGCATGCTAAGTCTCTCAACTTGCATAAAGAAAAATAGGAAGATAAAATCATAATTCAAGTGAAAGAGGTTATTTGTTATTCTTGTATACTTGTAATCTTGTTCGAAGAGAATATAAAGAATAGCAGTTTGTAATCAATCATTGTTATTTTACTTTGTTTTCTTTGTTAGCCCTAACCTTTATGTGTTTCTTGATCATAAAAAAACCGTTTATATTTTGTTTCAAGACATCCTATTCACAGCATGGCAAGATGGAGTATTTGTGAAATAAGAAAAGCTTGTAAATTTCTTGATTGAAATTGAATATTTAAGCTAATAAATATTCTAATGTACAATTGATTGGGAGAAATACATACATGTGTGAAATTGACTATGATTTTGTTAGAAATATGGTATGATAATCCTGGATAATTTCGAGGAATCGTGTTCGTACACTTTCCGAACAAAGTATTTCGACCTTATTATTTGTTAGGGTTCACGAAATCTTTGTAGGAATAATTCTTGAATAACAATCTACTTCCGACAATAGAGAGATCAAAAATCATGTAAAAAAATGTCATATCTGTTTATCTTTATAACTTTAATATTTGTCTTAATTTATTTCTTGTTGTTATCATGAAAAATGGTAAGTCGTTTCTTTGAACTCATCGAATATGGCTTAAACTCAGCATCAAGGGAATTTGATTGAGATGAAGATAGGCCCACTATCTATTTCTTGATCAACAAGTATCGTCCCTTGGGTATCAAGGCTTCACACTTGAAAGGACGTAATTTTGGAATTTTGCAATCATGCCCATTTACCTTTATTGTAATGGAAATACAGTTTCACAATCAATCATCCTAGACATCGCAAACACTAGGGTTACAAGTTTCCAAATAAGTAAGGTGCGGTTTTCATAGAAAAATATATATTTACCCCATTCAAGTATTAAAATAAGTTCGGTTTTATTTTAACGACTTCTCCATAATAAATTGAATTCTATTTTATTAAATGCAACTTAAGTTAGATTATTTTATTAATATAATATTTTCTTTCATCTTATTTTATAATTTTATTTTTAAATTTGAATAAATAATGTATATATTAGCATTTGATGATTCTGAGAAATAAACTTGTATAAAATAAAATCTAAAAAATAATAAATTCAACATAAAATATATAATATATTAAAATTAATAAGAAAATAACAACAATCAATTATGTTCTTACGTATGAAAAATAAAAAATTAAATATTAAGTTAAACTAGTATGATTATTATGAAAAATTAATACTAACAAATATTCATTTGATGAGATATCATTTTTAAATTAGCATAATGTTAATTTATGTCAAATTATTTAAAAAGTTTATTTTGAAAAGGATAATAAAATTATTACTTATAGATTTATATCAAATTTAACACATAATTTTCAAAAAAAATTTTATATATTTATCTCTTGTGTTTAAAAGTCACAAATTAACATTACTCTTTAAATTATTATTTAATTATATTTATTTGTTGATGGCATACCTTATCTTTAAACCAATTAATATTGTTAATATGTAATTATTGAATGATGAATTTAATATTTAAATAGTCTATATTTTCAATATTAGTAAAATTTTATGTCTATCCCTCTTGTATCATTTCACCCACTTTCCCACATCAGTCTCTTGATATTTTCATCTATAATAAGAATATGAGATATCTACGAAACATTTTATTTACCATTTATATAAAAGAAACACATAGATTCCATTTGTACACGTGTGAGACCCAAATTTCAGCACCTCAATGCTCCTCCAAGAAAAGAACATAACCTTATCAAAATCAGCATATAAACTCTTGTACCTTTTCTCTAGCTTGAATAGCATAGCATCTTGAGCAAGAAAGCATGGGAAACAAGATAACAAAAGAGCCTGAGGTTGTGAAGGGTGTAGATTTGGAGAGATACACGGGTCGGTGGTACGAGATTGCTTCTTTTCCTTCGTTTTTCCAACCCAAAAACAGTGAGAACACCAGAGCCACCTATACTCTAAACAACGATGGAACTGTTCATGTCCTCAACGAGACATGGAATAATGGAAAAAGAAACTCCATAGAAGGAAGTGCTTATAAAGCTAACCCTAATAGCGATGAAGCCAAACTCAAGGTCAAGTTCTTTGTTCCTCCATTCTTGCCAATCATTCCTGTTCTGGGAAACTACTGGATTTTGTACCTTGATCAAGATTATCAATATGCTCTTATTGGAGAGCCTACAAGAAAATATCTTTGGGTAAAATAAGTTTTAGTTTATAACAAAATTATAATTATTATTATTGTATGAGTATGATGATTTTGGTTTGTATAGATATTATGCAGACAAACGCATTTGGATGATGAAATTTACAAGAAACTTGTTGAGAAAGCTAAGGAAGAAGGGTATGATGATGTGACCACCAAATTGCGCAAGACACCACAAAGTGATCCTCCACCTGAATAACTAGAGAAATTTGGTGGATAAATTAAATCGAAATAAATAAATAAATAAATAAATTTGTATGGAGATTTCAACAACTGTTAATTTTATCATGTACTATTAAATAAAGAGTTCAACAACTTTAATATTGAGCCATTTTAATTTTATGCTTGTATTGGTTTGTTTTGTAAATAGACTAAAGATATGTTGGTGTTAATTTGATGCTTAAATTGTGCAACTAGTTGTTAACTTTATATTTATTTGTTCACTTTTTTTGCTTATGGGGGATTCGTAATTTATCTTTCATTTAGATCACTCTCGACATGTGGATAAGGTTAACTGATGCGAAAAAAATAGGAGTATTCATTCGAATAAGGAAAAGTAATTATTTACTTTTTTCAACAAGCTATGAAAAAAATCAATTATTTTTAATCGATGTGCAAGTACACTTATTTTTAAAAATTTCAATCATTTTTATAAAAAAATTATTTTTTAAAATTCATCTTCGCAATCATCCTGATATTATTTCTCAGAATCTCTTGGCTGTTCATTTATGTCTAGACTTCATTTGTTTAAATGTAATTATATAATCATCAATAAATTCACTTATCATTTTTAGTGTATTTTTTGTAAGTATATAACGTTAACAAATTTTGTGAAATAAAGGTTTTTAAATCATTTTTAATGTATTTTTTCTAAGTCTATAACGTTAACAAATTTTGTGAAATAAGGTTTTTAAATGTGGCTTACTCTAAAAAAAAAAAAAAGTCTTACTGTTTACAATACTCTTACTTCGGATTGTTGGACTAGCAAGATTTTGAATCTCTAGTTGGATATTGGTATTTTTCACAATACTTTATTATTTTATTTTATTTAAAAATAAATTAAATCATTTTTATAGTTTACTCTAAAAATATCAATACCCAACTTAAATTTATGAATAAAAAAAAAGTCATCAATTCTATCTATTTGAGTGACTAATGTTTGATATATTCTTACGAAGTTTTATGTGATTGGATTAAATATAATAGTCATGAGTTATTATGTTCACCATTTCATGATTAATACCTAAGAGATTATAAAATAGTGTTAGTATTAGAATTAATTAGCATTTTAATTAATTTTATAATGAAGAAAATAATTAAAATAATATAAGTATTAGAAAAATAAAAAATAAATTAGAATTAATAATTAATTAATATTATTTTGGTGAAAATTAGATTTAATTATAAAATAAGTAGAAAAATAAGATAGTAAGGGTAAAGTGGAGATTAAGGAGATAAGTGAGGATAGGATAGGAACAACTTAAATGAGAAAAATATGTTTTTTATTAAAAATGGGGAAGTATGAAACATTGAGTTTTCAGTGATCGTAAAATTGAGTTTGGGAAAAAAGAGGCAAAGACTTGAAAGAGAATAAGGCTTTGAGGAAGAAAAAGGAAATTGTCATTGTTAAACAGTTTTTGCTAGAAATTCAGGTATGGGGAACTACTTCGATATTGGTGTAATTTATGAACGATGGAGAGATATCCTCACTCTCTTCTAGATTTTCTTAATTATTGTGTTTTTGAAATGCTTGATGTATGATTATGAGAAATTGATGATAATGATGATGATTCTTGATTGCAGAAGTTAATGTAAAATCTGATTTTGGCATTGTTATTCTTGATGTGTTGTGTCGGTGATGGTGAACATGAAAGTGATTTTCATGATGCATTGTTGGTGATGTTGAATTGGTGAAATTAGATGTTAATTGGTAGGTTTAGGATGTAATAACATTAGATAATTGATATAAGATGTTAGATTTTTGAAATAAGTTGTTATAGCATGTTATAGTGTGTTTAGGTGGAATTTGAGAATAATTGGTTTTGTTGAGCATGTTGTAAAACTGGTATTTTTGAAAAATAACTTATGTCGAACGATTCCACCATAGTTTCAATCGATTGATCTTCTAAATTTTTGAAATATTGAAAGCAATTAATTGGTTAATTGAGAGAACATCAAGCCAATATGTGAAAAGTAAAAGAAACATAATGTATATGTTGTAAATGTGCCTTAAAACCTTTGTTGATGAAGAGAAACAAAACATATTGTGGAGATTGTATTTACCGCGAAAGTCGGAAAAAAATCGGTCGGTGAATAGTATCGCCTGTACGGTGAATAATATTATCTGTACGGATGAATAGTAACGTTCATACGATGAATAATGTTTTCGGGATTTTTCAATTCGGTCCATGGATCCATGTGACTGTGGGCTTTATTTGTTGGGTATTTGCTATTATAAATATGTATCTCTTATATGTTTGGTGTGTGACAATCTTAGAGTTTTCGCCAACAAGGGAGACCAATGGTTTAAAGGTATAACACATGGTTTCAGCTATGCACAAAGAAAACCTTGGACTACACCTTGGGTTTGAGTGATTCATATATTGAGTTACAGAGGTAGGGAAACACTTGGGTAGAAAATATGGTTGTTCTTGGGTGCCATCAGGGTTGTTCTTGGGAACCTGAAGGCGAAGGCTATTTTCTTGTAACTCATATATAATCTCTTGTAACAATTTTCTGAGTATAGTGAATTGGAGAGCTGATATCTCGCTCAGAGTAGATCATTTGATCGAACTGAGTAAACAAACCTTCAGTTTTTTTTCTCCATTATTTTGTTATATTATCCGTGTACAGATTGTTATTGTGGAGCAAAGAGATATTGTTGACAAGTGAATACCAAGGTTAGTAGATGGCAGATCGAGAAATTTTCCGGTAACAATGACTTCGGGTTGTGAAAAATTAAGATACAAGCAATTTTAATTCAAGAGAAGTGTATTGATGCTTTGAAGAGTGAAGCATTGATGCCTGCAGGGCTTACATAGGTACATAAGACCGAGATGGTGGATAAGGCAAGGAGTGTCACTATCTTGTTCCTCGAGGATAAAGTTCTAAGAGAAGTCGCCAGAGAGCAAACTGCAGTTGTGGGAAAAACTTGAATCATTGTATATGACAGAGTTTTTGGCTCACGGGTTATATCTAAAACAACAACTCTATTCATTCCGAATGGTGGAGAACAAATCCATAGTTGAGTAGCTCATAGAATTTCACAAGATTATCGATGATCTTGAGAATATTGAAGTGAAGATTGATGATGAGGACAATGCTTTGCTCCTATTGGGTTCATTACCCAAATCCTTTAAGCCCTTTAAGGATGCCCTTCTTTATGATAAGGAATGTACTATTACTTTGGATGAAGTCCGGGCGACAGTGAAATCCAAAGAATTTTCAAAGTCGAAAGATTTGAAGATTGAAGATAGTGGTGAAGGCTTAAATGTGTCAAGAGGAGGAGGTGAGCGTAAAGGGATGTCCAAATCAAAGAGGTCTGACAAGTCAAAGTTAAAATGTTTTAATTGTCAGAAAATCAGTCACTTTAAAATGGATTGTCTTGAAATAAAGGTCAATGAAGATTTTGTTTAAGCTGTAGTTGCATTGGGTGAGGAAAGTTATGAGGATGCCGAAGCACTAATGGTATCAAGTTTGGAAACTAAAGATAGTTGGGTCATTAACCCAGGTTGCTCTTATCACAAGTGTCCAAGAATATAATATTTTGAAACTTTGAAGATGGTGCAAGGTGGAGTAGTTCGCCTTGGAAATAATAAGGCATGCAAGGTTCATGGTATTGGTACGGTCAGATTTAAAATGTTTAATGATCGTGAACTTTTTATTCACAATGTGAGGTATGTTCCATAACTCAAGCAAAATTTGTTATCTATAAGTATGTTTGATGATCTAGGCTATTGTACTAGAGTTGAATATGGAGTGTTGAAAATTTTGCGTGATGAGTTGATTATTTCTAAAGGGTCTAAAATATGTGGTCTATATATTTTAGAAGGTTTAAATGTTATTATTCATTCATCCTTAACTAGTGGAGGCTTTCATGACAAGGAAGAGCTATGTGATTTGAGTTTAAGGTGTTATGAATGCCTTGAGAAAGTTTCAGAGGAGTACAATGAATTTTGTAGAAATCAAGGGATAAAAATGCATGTTACCGCTAAGTTGTTATTGAGTTTTTGGGGAAGATATGAGGTTAAAACAATTTACTTGGTTGGTAGAGAATTTCTTCAGAAGAAGAATAGTGAAAACCAAGGGAGAAACTAGGGAGTTTCCTACTATGGATGCTAGCAGTAGTGAGGGAACAGTTACAGAGATTTCTGATTATCATTTGACTCATGATAAGGTAAGGAGGGTAATTGTAGCATCTCAAAGGGACAGTTATGCTAGCATTGTATTATGTTTTTAATGTGGCTGAAGGAATACAAATAAAAGAAGAAAAACCTTCAGGGAGACATTTGAAAACAGGTGGAGTCAAGAAAATCATACTTGTAGGCTTGTTAAATTACCTAGGCAGAAAAGGGTAATTGAGAACAAGTGGATTCAAGTTGTGATATCAAGATTCAAGGGTTGCTTGAATTTGATCAAAGTTATTGATTAAAGTTTCAACTTGGTAGAGAGCAACAATGTTGTTGATTGTTAAATTGGTATCACCATGGTTAAAAGTCAAGGTGGAGATTGTTGTAAATGTGCCTTAAATTCTTTGTTGATGAAGAGAAAGAAAACATATTTTGCAGATTGCATTTATCGCAAAAATCAGAAGTTTTAGAAAGTCGATGGAAAAAATCGGTCGGTGAATAGTGTCATCTGTACGGTGAATAGTGTTATTCGTACAAATGAATAGTAACATCCGTACCGTGAATAGTGTTTTTGAGTTTTCAGGTTTTTTTCGATTCGGTCCATGAATCTATGTGTGACTTTGGGCTTTGTTTGTTGGGTATTTGCTATTATAAATATGTATCTCTTATATGCTTGGTGTGTGACAATCTTAGAGTTTTCACCAATAAGGGAGACCAATGGTTTAAAGGTATAGCATAGGGTTTCAGTTATGCACAAAGAAAACCTTGGAATACACCTTGGATTTGAGTAATTCATATATTGAGAGTTGGAGAGGTAGAGAAACACTTGTGTAGAAAATAGGGTTGTTCTTGGGCGCCTTCAGGTTGTTCTTGGGAACCTAAAGGTGAAGGCTATTTTCTTGTAACTCATTTGTAATCTCTTGTAACAATTTTCTGAGTATAGTGAATTGGAGAGCTGCTCTCTTCCCCAGAGTAGATCGTTTGATCGAATTGGATAAACAAACTTTCAGTTTTTTCTTGCCTTATTCTGTTATATTATATGTGTACGGATTATTATTACTGAAGACCATTTATTTTGGTTTCTATTGTTCTTTGCCTCACAAATTGATATTGAATTTTGTCGTAATTCACAACAGTATATAAAAGTGAGACAGTCGATTGATGGGTGGTGACAATCAATTGATGTTGTGAAAAAATGTGAAAAATAGGCCTGTGAGTGAGAACAATCAATTGATGGTCCATTTCAATCGATTGAGGCGCGCATCGAAGCTTTTGAAAGCTAACGTGTAATACTTTCCCTCAGTAATGTTTTAGGAAGTTGAATGTGAATTAATGATTTAAATATAATGTTTTCTTTAGGTGCAATGTTCTGAATGTATGATTGATTCAAGATGAATTGTTATGGTGATTAATGATTAATTATGTGGAGAGTACATAATCGTTGTTTATTGTGGCGGTAGTCTTGAATGGGTAACTACGTTGTTATTATATTGCATATTGTTTATGGTTCGAAGGGGGGTCATAAACATATGGTTGTTATTATTGCATAAATTATATGTCATACATCATTTGTGTCGTTGTTGTGAAAGAGCTGAGTTACGAGTCTAGAAGGGTGGACGAATAACTTGTCCTGAGTTTAGAAGGGTGAACTCGGGGTTCAGAAGGGCGAACTTGGTTCGTATGAAGAACCATCGTTGATTGTTACCACAAGCATAGTGTTGATGTCGTGAGTCACATTGCATGCATATGTATATATCATGATGAAAAAGGTGTGATCTTGAAAATGTGTGGTTTGTGTATTGAATGCATGATATGTTATGTGTTTATATACCCACGCATTCTTTACGTTGTATTATATCAAAGTTTATTCTCACCCCTTTTGCTTTTTGGTGTCCGCCATATACATCTTGCAGATAATTAGGAGTAGAGTTTTGTTGTTGTGAGTGGAAGATAGCTTCTTAGAGCTTACCTTTGTTTATTTATCGTTCTATTGTATTTTAGTGGTTTAGTGCTCTGATCTCGTAACATCGGGAACAAGACGTTTTTGTTATGTTTTGAGTTGGTGTCGAATTATAATGTTAAAGTTTAATACTTTATTTGAGAAGTTCAATTTAAAGTTTTTATTATGTTAATTTTCATTGCATATTGTTAAATATTTTTAAAATTTTTGTTGGTTGGTTGTCGAAGTGAGACCTTAAATTGTTGAGCAATTCTTTTTATATAAGTTTCAGGGTTTATGGTGTTATAGATTACACCAAAAATCAGCATAGTTTATATATTAATAAAAGTCTTCCAAAACTCAGGGTCTGATTTCTAGTGTAAGGATCGAGATAACGAATTTTTTGGGTCGTTTGCGGCGTGTTTCAGACCAATTGAGAAACCATTTCTTTAGTAAACTAATTTGCTTGTAAAATTTCTACAACAGTTTCACCAACAGGAATTGCAGGCAATGACATTTTCCTCCCCTCACCTACATCAATGTAATTGATTTTAATTTTCATTGGTATGTGGCCGAGTAAATTGGCCAGACCAGATTGCGACTGTGACCAACACTACAATTTAAAGCTTTACAACTGAGAATTGAATTTGATTTTTGAGTAAGAGTTATCCAGAGGGATTAATAGATATACCTGTATGGAACTAACCATCAACAATAATCTATTGGGTAAGATCTTGTCTCTTGTGGTAACCAAAAAACAAGGAATTTCGCTCGAATCATATGCTATCTCTGATAGAGATTCAAGTCTGGCCTCAATGGTTGTCATGGGAATTCCAATTGTTTCCAGAAAACACATCATCGATCGATGTGAAACACCCAACATAACTTTCAATAAGACCTAACACGCGAGATTTAAAAGACCTACTAGAAGTTAAAACAAAAGTTTGAAAAGAATGAACTGGAAACGAAATAAAAGTCTTACACCTTACCAAATTCCTATTGAGGAAGATAGACCAACCTTTGTTTCCCAGCTTTAACTTTTGTAGACTCTTCTTCGTATTTTTCTCTAAAGCAACATCTTCCTTGTTCTTCATCTATTTATCCAAAACAACCTCTCCATTGCGTTTGTCACAACCACACTCGACTTCTAATGGAAAGATGATTTTGAAAATTTTCTAAAGTTTGAAAAATAAGAATAGAAAAAATAAAATGACAAAATTAGACAATAAATCGAACTTAACTATTTTTGAAATAACCAAAAAAAAATAAAGTATAAATATATTCAACTAGATTGTCACATTACTATAATTTAACAATTTTTAACAAAATTTAATAAAAAATAATCATCAGTAGTTAAGATGTTTTTAAATTAAAAAATTAAAATAACGCATTAAATTAATTTAAAAGATCAAAATATGTATTAAGCTTCTTTTTTTAATGTAAACAAGTTTGGGGTCCGTCTGATTAGGTTACGATAAGAATCTAGAAACAGCCATCGTTATCCTATTGTCTTATGATTCTGTGGGACACGTGTAAGGTCTAGAGATCTCCACGTCAAATCTCCAAACCCACGTTACTCCTACAAAAAGCACAAAGAAAACCGAAACCAAAACCTTATCAAAACCATTTACTTTCTTTCTATCGTTGTTTCAACAAAACACAAAGAAACCCCTTCTTCTCTGTGTCATTTCCCTTGCAAGAATCAATCACAACAATGTCGAACAAAGAAATGGTCGTTGAAAAAGGCGTTGATTTGAAGCGATACATGGGTCGTTGGTACGAAATAGCTTGTTTTCCGTCTAGGTTTCAGCCAAGTGATGGCACGAACACAAGAGCAACTTACACTCTCAGAGACGATGGAATTGTTGGTGTTTTGAATGAGACTTGGAGCGGTGGAAAACGAAGCTACATTGAAGGAACTGCTTATAAAGCTGATCCTAATAGCGATGAGGCTAAACTCAAGGTCAAATTCTATGTTCCTCCTTTCCTCCCAATCTTTCCCGTTGTTGGTGATTACTGGATTTTGCATCTTGATCGTGATTATCAGTATGCTCTCATTGGTCAACCTAGCAGGAATTATCTTTGGGTAAGTAAAGTAAAGTTACCCTTTTTTCATTTTACTCTGTTTTTCATGTTATTTTGTGATTGATTTTGTTTATGGGATTGGAAGAAGAAAGCATTAGTTTTGAAACCCTTTATTTATGTGTCAAAATTCAGAGTCTCTGATTGTGGTTGATTTATCACTTGCTTAGTAAGGTTTTGAATCATGATTTGGGGGTTTTCCATTTAAAATGCCTGAAACATCTATGTTGGAGTGTAGCCTTATATCATGAAAGAAGTGCAATTTAGAATCATGAAATGTGTTTATTTGTTCCCTATTATATAAATTGGATCATTTTGGTCCCTAGGTACTATGCAGGCAACCCCATTTGGATGAAGAAATCTACAACCAGCTTGTTGAGAAAGCTAAGGAACAAGGGTATGATGTGAGCAAACTGCACAAGACTCCACAGAGTGATACTCCACCTGAGCAAGAAGGTCCTCAAGACACCAAAGGAATTTGGTGGATCAAATCCCTCCTTGGGAAATAAACAAATATGTGTACTCAGACTTAACAAGTGTTTCTGCCATGTTATGAATAAAGGTTTTAAGTACTCACTTTGGATTTATATTTATCATGTATTGGCTTGTTCTGTATATATAGACTAAAGATGTGACCTTTAGCAAATTTGGCGTTTGATGCTCAAATTGTTCTTTAGAATTCAATTCAGTTTGTGTTACTTTAAAGGCATGTTCTGTAAACATGCAACTTTACTCCATCGAATTCTTGTGATGTTTAAGGATGATAGTTCTACTGGCAAAAATGTTTTACATTGATAGAACATTAAAGATGTCAGCATCAAAATATGATGGATCCTCTCATTTGATTCTTGCTTAGCACAGGTGTTTGTTGTAAATATTATTTATATGGATCTTACTAACTAGTGCCCACTGGCCACTATTTAAACATTCCATATTAAGAAATTATTCTTTAAAAAATTCAAACACTTCAATTTTCAATGCACATTATTACACATTATTGCACATACTTTTATATTTTTTTATTTATATTTGTAAAATATACTTTTATATTTTTTTATTTATATTTGTAAAATATAAAATATATTATAATTTTATGAATTAAATAAATATAACAAAGTTTTTTTAACAAAGTATATTAAAAATCGAAGAGAAGTTACAAGAAATCAAAAAGTACGGGGACTAACCTAAAATCTTTTATTTTTCAAACTCTGCTTCAATAGAAACTTTTCTGATCAGACCTGATCAGAAGAGGACCAATGATCTGCCACGTGTCGTTGATCTGTAAGCTGTTTACAAAAATATAGAGGAAGAGGGGGTGTATTTGAAATACACAATGGCAAAGTAAGTGACGAACAGAGTGGGAGTAAGTACAAAGAGAGAGTAAGAGAGTTAAGTTACCTGACCCTCTAGTGAAGAAGGTATTTATAGTGAGCCTCTAGCGCAGGGCCAACGGTTACTTAGCATTGGGCTGAGCTGTCAGGCCCAACGTTAGTAACTGAGGAAGAAGACCGAATCTCCAGGACATGGGTAGTTACTTTATGATGTGTCCCTGCGTGAGGGACACGTAGAAAACGTGGGGGAGGTCCGAGGAGCTCCTCGAGCAGGCTGGCTGCGATGGTCTTGCCTGACAACTGTTGGCTTATGACCGACAGGGGAGAGGTTGTGTCCGACGGGTCTTCTGCCCGTCAGTGGGGTTGGGCCTACTTGGTTATCAGTTGAACTTCGGCCCAGTCCAGAACAGAAACTTTTAGGAAATTTCTTCTCCACTCCATAGGTTTCTTTTTCATTTTATGATTATTCACAAATATTCTTAGATTTTTTCGGAGATATATTTTCGAACGCGTTCTATAGTTTAATAATATTTTTGAGATATATCTCCGGAACAATTTAAACTTTAAAAGTTCACAACATATTTTTCATAGTCTATTTTCATTTTTGTTCGGAGATGCATTTATGAAAATTTTCTAGAGATACATCTTCGAAGTGTTTCAGAATAAATTTTTTTAACGCATTGTGTATTTGTTCGCAGATGAATTAAATAACAAGACATGCCAAAATAACATAACAATATAGTAATTGGATGTCATACGTCACGTAAATTCAAAATGTAATCACAATGTCAAGAAAAACGTACAAACTATAGTACTGAAACAAAATAAATACAGAAAACTACTGGGTGTGTCTGACAACCTCTCATCTGCCTAGTCAGCCTCTCCGGCCATCGGTCCTCCCTGTTCTTGCGCGATGTCTAGAGTACAAAAGTGCCTCATGTGCCTTCGTAATAATGTCGTCTAGTACTCATCTAGTACAAAAGTGCCTTGCGTGACATTCTCAGTATGATCCAGCTGAGTCTGCTGCTATTCAAGAATCTCCTAATGAGCTGGTCTCAGCAGATCTCCTCGAGCATTCGGCATCATGTACAAATGTGAGACAGTAAAGAACCAATTGATGTATTCTTCGATGTAGCTCCAGTCATTCGACATCAGATGATCGATAATCAACAAACATCTCCTCTATATGTATACAAGTCAAAGCCGGAGGTGTAGAGACAACAGGGTGTATGAGATGGTTTGGGTGTACCCGAACTATCGCATGACGCGCTTTAGAAGATGAAGAGTAGTGACTGTCGACGAGCAGGTCAGCCATCTGGAGTATAGCGATATGTCTTCAAATGGCCGTGTCTGACGGTGATCCACGTAGCAGTTGAAGTGAATGTCCTCAGCAATCAAGCGGTCAAAATAGACTCTAAAAGGCTTGACCGTCTGGTTCCCTATAAGCGGGATAAAAGCATATGCATGAGGCATCTCCTCAGTGTACTCATCCCAACACGATCAGCTAGCGATGCAGGAAGTGTTGGAGGATTCAAGCCTGAAATGAAAATAAAAAATATTCAGGGATCAAGAATTATCGCAAATATGAAATGAAAAAGATAAAAAAAAAACATTCACGGATAAAAAATTATTAGCACCAATAGGGTTGTGCTGCCTGTAGTCTGCCTCATCGTTAACCGATATCTATCTCTCAGCTTCAAATACAGATATGCAAGGCAAGCCACCCCTAAGTTGTACTCATGGATCCGTGTGAGATCCAAGAAGTACCGGAGGTATACAACTTGAGTGTAGGTGGCACTCATGTCCACAACAAGTACAATGCCAACTAAAAATAGAAAATAAAACTTCAAAGCATGATTCCTATGTATGGCCACCTCCTGGGCATCTTCATTAGCCTGCGCTGCAGCAACGAGCGTCTGATCAAATCTCTCCTTCAAGAACGGAAACCTAACATGAGTACCTCTGGTCCTATCCACCTCCCTCAGCGCCTTCATTGGACCATCCCCTAAATGATCCACAATCATATCGATCACTTCGTCTTTGGTCATCCTACCATGATGGAGGAATCTTCTTCTAATTGGTAGATGCAACAAACATGAGACATCGTCCAGTGTAATCGATATCTCACCATAGGGAAGATGAAAGGAAGAGGTCTTAGAGTGTCATCGCTCCATGAAGGCATTAAGCATCCCGTGGTTGACCAAAGTGTAACGGATCAAGCATAGGTCACTCAACCCAGAAGCGGTCAGAACCGACTAAAACCATTATTCATCAAGTTGATGCAATGCTAAAATCTTTCGCCCATGGTTCAAAAACTTATGGGGATCGTGCATCTGCGAATTTCCAAAATAATCAATGTCTATAAGAATCAATATCAGCAATTTAAATTATGTAAAAAAAATATAGTAGCAATGTGATTAATGTTACCTCTCCATCCCAGATATGTCTGATAGTATGGTCTGGATACAAGGAAGTAGAGACATATCCGATGGACACCCTCTGAAAGCCTCTGGCTCGGCATCAACAACATTACCCTCTTGAGGGGGCACCGGTGCATTCCGGTCAGCAGGTGCGACCGAGTCAACAAGATGTGCCATAGGTGCATCCCACCGCCTGCAGGAGGATGGTAAAAGTGACGCGTCAGCTGTTGCATCCCGTGGTCTGCGAGAAGAAGATGAAGAAGGTGGAGTGGAATGGGAAGTGGATAGAGTGGTCTGAGATGTAGTTGGAGTGTCCTGAGGTGAAGGGTGAACTACAAGAGTGGACTGAGCCTCACGAGTAGACTGTACACCAGTAAACGACGCCTCTCCCTAACCAGAGGTACCTGCTGCATCCAGACTCGGCTGGCTCCACTCTCGTCTAACGGATATATGCTGGATAATTCGTCCATGCCTTAATCGGTCAACTATGTCAGCCATTATGCCTGTAAGGTATAATATAATTACCCGTACAATGAGTTTACATAATAAGACACGAAAAAATTCAATGTCTCATGTACTCTGGGTGATTCCAGAGGTACAACTACAAAAATATTTCGCAGATATATCTCCATAATCACCTAGAATACATGAGACGTTGAATGTTTCCGGAGATGTATCTCCGGAATATTCTGCAACTCAGAGGTCGCGCCAATAGTGTCTTGTGCCCCTCAGAATGACAATTGTGAATCCTTGATCATCTATTTGAGCAAACAAACAATACATGCAGTTATTCTAAACTATGTTTCACCTGATTTCTAAACATTACGACACCTAACAATGGATTTTAACTTGTTTACAACAAAACTCAAATATTTATCAGAAACTCAAAAAATTTACCCGGATTATATAATTCTGAAGATGTTGAATGATGCACTGGATGCAGCTTGATGATTACATGATCCTCGGAAGGAAGAAATCAAATTTGATGAAGTTTGAGAAATTTGGGAATGAGAGATGAAGAGGTTTGTGAATAGAAATGAAAAAGTGTGGGAGAACAAGAGTCTGACGCGATAATATGCTCCAAATTGTTCTGGAGATATATCTCCGAAATATTTCAACATTCAGTTGATCTTTGGTGCGCCCGGAGATATATCTCCAGAATATTTTAATGTTTAGTTAAAATATGGTGCGTCCGAAGATATATCTTCGAAAACTAGAGGCATTATAGGAAATCTGCATGGTGCCTAAGAAACTTATAGGATGTTTTAAGAAATCCTCAAATTTTTATAGGAAGTCCAATGTACTCGTGCTTAAGAGCATCTTTATTGAGAGTGGATAATAGGGAACCAAAATGAATAAAATAAATTAATTTTTGTGGATCGAATTGTCACTAAGATTTAATGAATTTTAGTTGATTTAAGTTTTTTCACTTTAACGCTGGTTGTTTATAAATAACCCATACTCGACCCCACATACTTATATTTTTTTTTTGTAATTAAATTGAATTCAAATTTAATATTAATTTAGTTATTATTATTATTATTATTATTATTATTAAAATTTTAAAATAAACATAAAAATTAATTATTAGAATAAATAATTATAATAATTTAGATATATTGAAATTTAAGAAAAATAAATGTTGTTAGAAATTAAAAGAAAAAAATAGAATTTAAGAAAAAATTATAAGTTAAAAAATATAACGTGAATATTCATTGAATGATTTTATTGAAAATGTGGTTATTAATTATTCTGTAA